TACATATTATCAAGAAATCGAATTAGTTTTAATCTCATTGATTTTAACAAAATATTTTTTTACTTACTTGTTTTTAAGTAACTTGTTTAATAGCCATATTTAACCATGCTCATACTTTTTAACGTCAAATGTTTTTTTCCCCACAATTAACAGATTTATGTTTATTAAAAGCAGTTTGAATGCATTTTTAAAATATTATTATAATAAAATCACATGCAACTCTTACATTTAATTTATGAATGACTGACAAATATGCATCACATTAAGTTAGTTTTGAAATTAGATTGCAAGATTACAAATAGAAATTTTATATGCAATTCAAATACATACATCTTAATTTTAGACCTAAATATTTTTTTTTATAAATGCAGTGACGCATGTGCACATTTACACCTTCAGCCTTTCTGCTGTCAGACGTCAGATGCATGTGAGGTTAACCCTAAATCACCTTTTACAATCAGTCGCTCTTAGTAATTAACCCTGGCAAAACATGCAAATTATAACAGGTAGCTTGGTATTATTTACTTTCTCATCTTCATTTACAGTGAACATGAATTCATATGAGCTGCTTTTATAATGCTTTTTTTGTCGTTGTTGTTTTTGGAGTTATTTTTGCAACTGTGTACCCAAAATAGAAAGTAATTTTGTCTTTGTGTCTGAAAACTGAAAGGCAGAAATTTGACTGTTGTAATTAGTGTGTGGCATCACATTCATGTTTATCGGGTCAGAAGTCTCTCGTTTATTGAGAGGTTGGCGATGGTGGCGCCGTCCTGACATTATTACGCCGTCTCTGCATGTTCTGTTCTGTTCTGTTTGAGCGCCAGCCTGCATAATAGACTTCTAATGAGGACTGGACACTGTAACACACGCCGCCGCAGCTGCATGCTAATCATCTTTAATTTCATCAGATTTATATCATCATTTCCATATAAAGGACGTTCAGTCCATTTAACAATCATATTAGCCATCCATAAATTCTTCAGAAGTAGTAATGAAATAATTTTGATGGAGCGCACACTGTTACCGTAATCTCGCGATGCCTTATTTGAGATTACGAAATGAACAATTTGTGCAACTGTTTCTGGAAAGTCAACATGCCAGATTTGGCACTTCAGTTTGGGACAGAACGACCATTCCTAACAAATCACGTACAAATCTTAGCGCTTTTCAGTTGAGTTGAGATCATGCATTTTGACAGTTTAGTTTGACATTTGGCTGAAGTTTGACTGAATGAGTCCCATTCAAGTAAATTAATTATTTTTTCATGGAATTATATGGTGTAATGACTTGACTGGGACTCAGAAGTATGGAGTATTTAACATTTTTTTTAATGTTTTTGAATGAAGTCTCTGTAATATCATTTAAATGTTTGAATTTATTAATACTATATATAAATGACTCAGAATTGCAAGATAAAAATTCAGATTTTTCCCCCCCTACAGTTCTAAGATTATATCTCATAATTGAGATGTATTTGTTTCCACCACAGAATAAAAAAATAAAAAAGGTAATTGCAACTTTTTATCTCACAAATCAAAAAAGTAAGTTTATATCTAGCAATTCTGTGAGTTGATTGCAATTACCTTATTTTTAGAATTTTATATTTTTTTTATTATATACGATTTATATATTTAAATTACATATAAAACTCCCATCCATTTGAATTTTAACACTGAAGACTGGAGTAATGATGCTGGAAATACAGCTTTGATCACAGAAATAAATTACATTTTACAATAGATTCATACAGAAAAATTGTAATAGTATTTCACAATATTACTGTTTTTACTGTATTTTTGATCAAATCGCTAAATGCAGCCTTGGTGAGCATATGAGACTCAAAACATTTAACAAATCTGAATTATTTCAAACTTTTGACGAAGTGTGTGTATATATAGTTTTACATATTTTTTAAGTTTTATTATTTTATAGTTTGGATATATTTTTAAATGAAGAAATATTGCAATAGCCTATGAATTCATATATTGAATTTTGTTTGAAATGTACAACTTATTTATGGAATTAACTCCTCGATTATATATTATATGATATTATATTATTAATAATTTAATTAAATAGTAAAAACACCAGCAACAACATGCAGCTGTGAGCTTTCTGTCTTGAAATCTGTTGATTAATATTATAATATATTAATATCTTCACTTTTAATATCCAACATAAAATAAATGCACAGATTATTAACATGTGACATTATATATATGTGTGTGTGTGTGTGTGTGTGTATTATTCAGGTTAAAATTCAAGATTATTAAAAGCATTTCAGTAAATGTGTTGAGATGTGAGATGTCATGGAAAGTGTTTCTTCTTTGTTTTCTTTGGGAATTTGAGCTGATTTATATTTGGCAACATTGGTATTTTATTCCCCGCTCTGCTTCATTTATTCCCATCTTGTGAAATGTGAGTGTCGACATTATCGCAGCTATTTGAGAACATGCTACAGTCAAAACTTTTATTTTCCCAATTAGCAGATTGGGTCACCCGGATTGACCTGCAGGATCTGCAGATTTGCAAAGCGAAACAAGTGTGTATGCCTGCCAGTAGAAGTGTTTGAGTACAAACCCACCATCTGGCTCCTCATGCTCCTCTCAGAAGTTGTTAATTAGGCTCTGTGCGGTACTCTTAAGGATTTTATCTGCTGTAATGGTGGTGCCGTGACCCGGGCTGAACTGAGCCTTATCTGCTCTTTAATTACACGTTTCAGCAGGCCGCAGGTTGGGCTCTAATTCAGATAAGAGCTGCTTTCCCATTAGGTCGCTGTCTGCCCACAATAGAGCTGACTATGAATATCCATACAGTAGAGGAGAGCCATTACAAACAAAGCCTGAGAGAAGGGGATCAGGCAAGAGGAGGGTTTGTGGAAGAAATGCATTAATGATTTGAAAAGCTGAAAACAGGCTGCTGTTTGTACATTATGCATGTATTAAAGATAAGAGAGACTCAGGTTGTGTGAGGTTAGGGCACTTCAATTATTGTCAGAGAGATGCATGTGAAGAATATGCTCAATCTGTTTTGCTGAAGTTTCATGGCATCAGTTCTTTAATATTCAAGAGATTGTAAAGATATTTAGTAATTACACAAGATATCCTTAAGTTATCTTAAGATATATTTAATGTCAGGTTTACCCATGCAATTTCCCATATAAACACAAAAACCTCATTTTTCATTTGTATATTTTTATATTCTAGCAGAATATATATATATATATATATATATATATTTATTAGGGCTGTCAGTCGATTACAATTTTTAATCTAATTAATTACATGATGTGTCGATTAATTAATTTAATTAATTGCAAATTACACTTGGCTGTGAAAATACCCCCAAAAGATTATTTAAAGCTATTTTTATTGTAAATGAGAAAGTATTAAGTAGACATTACAAATAGTAGCTTTAGAAAGAAATTTAAATTTTAAATAGAATTTATTTGATTCAACGTAAAATGTATTACACATAAACGTTTAGGCTACAATGTTTATGTTCCACAAAAGAAAGTAAGTCATTGACGTTTGAGTAAATGATGACATAATTAAATTTTTTTGGGTGAACTATCCCTTTAAAGTTTTTTCCCCCTTTTTTAAATGAAATAATGCTCTAAATAAGAAACTAAAACTGCCAGCAGGTGGCCATAAATGTCTTTATGAGTCATTCATTCATTCAATTTGTTCAAACGGCTGATTCATTCAGGAATGAAGTAAACGGCTTACTTTATGAATGTGCCTTTTGAATCGTTGATTCACACGATTCATTCAGAAACTAAACACCGCTGTGCTGCTCGGAGACGCACAACAATTCTGCTGTGACTTTATAGGTAATATTTTTGTCTGCAAAACTGAGCAAAAACAGACAATATTGTGTGTGTGTATATATATATATATATATATATATATATATACGTATATCAGTAAGATTTTTAATGTTTTGTTAAAGAAGTCTCTTCTGCTCATCAAGGTTGTGCTAATTTGATCAAACATACAGAAAAAAAACTGTAAAACTGTTAAATATTATTGCAATTTAAAATAGCTGTTTTCTGCGTGAATAGATTGTAAACTGTAATTGATTGAATTTTCAGCATCATTACGCCAGTCTTCAGTGTCACATGATCCTTCAGAAATAATATGCTGGTTTGTCTGATGTGTTTATGTTTCAGGTGGCCAGATGGGAGCACAGGACCAGAGGTCTGACCCGTCTGTTCGGCGGTCCATACGTGGCCTGTTATGCCCTCGCTGGACTCATCCTGCTCCTCAATGTTTACCGCAGTCACAGGTAACAGCATCCACCGCTGTATTATTTATTGTCACAGGTCAACGGCAAAGCAGTACTCAGAATCGCCGTTATTGATGTTGTAAATTAATCAAGTGACCCATTTTGTCCCATTTTGCATAAGACTTAATAAGACATAAGACAAAGGTTCGGCGTTTACCTTTCACCCTTTCATTGATTTCATCAATAATAATAGTGTGGCATCTGCCTGACACGCTCATCTGACCAGCGGCACATTCAGCCGCTTATTTCATTTGCCGTTGCCATGGCAGCCTTCTTCTCCGTGCTGCTGATGCTGGGTCACCGCATGTGACCGCGAGTGTGTCTGTGTGTGTGTGTGTTAGACGGGCTGCTGCTATTTTCTACCCTGTTAATAATTGATTAAATCCTGTTACACTACACTTTGAGCTCACAACTTTTCCAAGATCAGGGTTTCTGCCATCTTAAAAAGTCTTAATTCACCCTTCCACAAATGAAGGCCTTAAAAGGACTTAAAGGGACAGTTCAGCCAAAAATAAAAATTCTGTCATTTATTCACACTCTTGTTGTTCCAAACCTGTATGAGTTTCTTTCTTCTGTTGAACGTAAAAGAACATACGGTAGCCATTGACTTCCATAATATGGAAAGTCAATGGGTACCGTCAGCTGTTTGGTTACCAACATTTTTTTAAATACCTTCTTTTGTGTTCAGCAGAAGAAAGAAACTTGTACAGGTTTGGAATAACATGAGGGTGAGTAAATGATGATCATTTTCATTTTTGAGTGTACTATCCCTTTAATTCAGAGCGGAAAGTCTTAGGGCCAGTTTTAATAAAAAATTGCACCAGCGCAAACCATCTTTTGGCATTAAAATAGTACTGTCAGGATTTACTAAAGACGCACAGTAAAGAATTAGCACTAAACAGGCATGGACACAGTAATCTTATTGAATATGCATTTGAAGGGGTTTTCGCCATTTGTGCCATTATTTAACGCCCCCCAAAAAAGCATGTCTTAAACTATTTTGCTCTTGAAATGGCTGCAGTTGTTGCTGCTAGGAGAGGCAGAGAACAGAGAGCACGTGGTAGAAGGGAGAGGATTTTTTCCACACGTATTAATTTATTTGGAATGCCAGAAGAACACATTATCCGAACATATCGTTTGCCAAGACATGTTATTTTCAATTTGCTTCAGGAAATAAAAGACGACTTGGAACCCTCAGCTAGGAGTGACGCAATACCAGTCTATCAAAGCTTCTAGCAAACCTTCATTTTTTGGCCTCCGGTTCTTTTCAACATGCTGTGGCTTCTTTATTTCTTTATTCTTTATTTGCAGCTGCGCTAATTTGCGCTACGCTTGATATATTGCGTTGGTCGATATGTAAATGAGATGTTGCGTCTGTGTTCTTTAATTTGCGCGTTGTTAGCAGGAATTTTCCACGCCATCGGCGCTGTTTTGGAATTGTGCTCTCGCGCTAATTTGCCCTGTTTAGTAAAACTAGCCCTTAATTTCATAAAGTCATAAAGTTTTTTCAAAAAGAACTGAAAAAAAAGAATATCATCCTCCATATATTTGTCTTGTTTTCCAATACAAATATCTGAACATCCTTATATCAAGATACATTTACTTAAGATGCAAACTTAACATATGAAATCTTGTTTTCTGAAAAAAAAATAATAATAATTCAGCAGCATTGAGTTTGTTTAAAACAAGATTAAATGTCTGTCAATGGGGTATGAAAACTTGTTTTCTTTTTGAATTAGGTTTATTTTTATTATCTCATTTTGATGAAAACAAGACTTCTTATGTAATTTAGCTTCTCCAGTAAATGTATTTTAATTTAAGAATCGTTAGACATTTGCACTGGAAAACAAGACATTACATTTTTTTGATTTTGGTATTTATTTAATTTTTTTAAATATAAACAACACTTTTCCTAATATCATACAGATTTCTCTAATTTGATCAAACAGGATTGAATGTTTTATAGTGAAACAAACCAACTAGTACACATTGATATTACTTACTGATGTTTGTGCTGCTGTTTTTCACCAAAATAATGTCACTTCCTGGAGGATGATGTCCTATTTTTTCTTTATTATTTATTATTTAATTTTTTTATTAAACATGAGGGCATGGCCTACCTGTTTTAAACTCTGATGTTGAGCATAATAATTAGCCCTTGTTCAGGTGATTGTTCAAGTTTAGTCACAGGGCACTAACTGAGTCTCTTTTGATGCTGGGTTGGAAAACACGTTAGTTTTAGCTGCATCTTCTTCTCTCTCAGTCATGCCTGGTTTCTTTCATCTCATTTTTTTTTTTAAAGGAAATTACATAAAACAGTCTATATTTGTAATTATTCTGCAATGTCTTTTATTATTCTTTAACACCATTTTTTTTTGGTTTGCCATAAAGTGTGAGTCTTTAAGGAGTCTGTGGAAACTTCCTGTTCTTTGTTAAGAAGGCGGCGTTTCTTGGGCTATTTTTTTCCACCTTCCTGATTTACGTACGTACCACCTGCGTGCAACTTTTGTCAGCAGGTTTTTGTCACAGTGACTGTATGGACATTTTTCCATGCCAATGGAAACTGGCCATCTGTGTGTTCACTCAAGCATGTGAGAATCTGAGACAGGAAGAAAAGGAAGAGAGAAATAAGATAAGTATTACAACTGTGGATATAATCATTTATGAGATCAAGCAATGCATTGTGATGTGCATAATTAAATAAATAGTTCACCCAAAAATGAAAATTTGCTAAAAAATGTGCTCACCCTCGGGTCATCCAAGATGTAGATTAGTTTGTTTCTTCATCAGATTTGGAGAAATGTAGCATTGCATCAGTGTCTCAGCAATGGATGCTCTGCAGTGAATGGGTGCACTGAGCGCCGTATCCCCAAACCGACCAAACATTATTAGCATACAGATTGACATCTATTATATTTAGCCGCATTCCATTTATAATTACGTTTACATTAGTGATGAATCATACACAATAATAAAGGCATTATGCATGCGATGATTAATTACACTGTGGTTGCGCACAAATCCTTCAAGAATTGATGCACTGAAAGGCAGCGGATAAAAGCTATTCATAGAGTCTCGGAGGATCTGAAGGTTCCCGATGCCTTTGACAGTTAATCCTTTCTTAGCAGGATTTCATGTTGCAAGCACAAGTAACTTTCCCTACGAGCATCATAGTGATGGTTATTATTGGTTAATCTCATGATAAGGTTAGTTGCACTGTTCAGTTTGTTCTGCCAAGATACAATTTCAGCACCTAATCACACTGATTCTCAATGCATTTATTTAATTTAAGGATTTAAGAGTGTTTATCACGTTATTTCTGCAATTTTAGATGTTTCACCACCATGTTCTCACACAATGTTGAACTTATTTGTTCTGTTCTCATAAAATTAAGAAAGAAGCCATGATAAAACAATAGCTAAGGCATGATACTAAGCTCAATCTGTAGAAAAAAAAAAAAAGTATTTTAAAAGCCACTTGCACGCTTACCGATGTTTTTAACGTTTTAGCTTTGCACCAGTAGGTGGTGTTGCAATTAAATTAGCATATTATTATAAAGGCATTGTGGTTTCGCTTTGTTTGAAAAGCAAAATATTTTCTTTTGAATTCACAAAAATGTTGTGATACTGCCTCAGTTCCTGTTTGGCATCAACTTTTTTTTAAATGTGACTTTTTAGGAATCAGTGTTATTTTTGTATCACTGAGATACTATTATAGTTTATAATAGTAATTTGAATTAGGTTTTTTTTTGTAATTTTTTTTTTTTTGCATTTTCATTTTTTTATTATTTAAAAATGTAAGTAATTTTTTTTGTGTCTTTTCATCATTTTTATTCGTTATATATTTATTTTTCAATATGGCCATTGGTTTTTTACCCTTATTTAGGTTTGGACCAGTAGGTGGTGCTATAATTAAATTAGTTTACAATTATGAAGGCATTTTGGTTTTGTTTAGTTTAGAAGCCAGTGTATTTTTGCATATTGTTCAATATACAAAACTTTTGTGTAAATACTGCCTCAGGTTTTTACCAGCAACAAATATTTCAGCAGAAAAACAGTATTTAAATCTATGCAAAATGGCAGAAAGGTGTACGACAGAAAAATCTGATCATCAAAACCTCTAAAAATATGAGATCAATAAAAAAAAATAAAAAAAAGGATTTGCAAAACAGAAAAGTTCAAGTTCTTTAAAGTATGTTCATTTCTGCTCTCAATACTTGGTCGGGGGTCCTTTAGCACAAACTCCAGCATCAGTGAGGTGTGGTATGACGCGATCAGCCTGTGGTACTGCTGAGGCACTATTGAGCTTCAGCTCATCTGTATTGTTGGATCGACTTTTTCTCATCTTTCTCTTGAAAATATCCCATAGATTCCATATGGGCTTCTGGTCAGGCATGTTGGCTGGCCAATCAAGCACAGTCATATCATTGGAAGTGGTTTTGTCACTGTGGGCAGGTGCTAAAGTCCTGCTGGAAAAGGAAATCAGCATCTCCATAAAGCTTGTCAGCAGATGGAAGCATAAAGTGCTCCAAAATCTCCTGGTAGACGGCTGCATTGACTTTGGACTTGATCAAACACAATGGAGCAACACCAGCAGACGTCACGGCTCCCCAAATCATCACTGACTTCGGAAACTTCACACTGGACTTCAAGCAGCTTGGATTCTGTGCCTCTCCAGTCTTCCTCCAGACTCCAGACCTTGATTTCCAAATGAAATGCAAAATTTACTTTTATCTGAAAAGAGGACTTTGGACCACTGAGCAACAGTCCAGTTCTTTTTCTCCTTAGCCCAGGTGAGATGCTTCTGACATTGTTTCTGTTTCAGAAGTGGCTTGGTAACTCTGTTCCTGAAGACGTCTGACTCTTGATGCACTGACTCCAGCTTCAGTCCACTCCTTGTGAAGCTCTCCCAAGTGTTTGAATCAGCTTTGCTTGACAGTTTTCTCAAGCTTGCGGTCATCCCTGTTGCTTGTGCACCTTTTCCTACCAATTTCTTCCTTC